CACAAAAATTTGGTGGCGAATCGCGCGTCCGCAGTCATTGACTTTTTTTCCCACTCACCGACAACCCTTTGTCGCCGTTTCGCTTCTTCTTTCTGGCGCGCTGCCGATCTCCATGAAAAAAAGTTACCGGCATGACCCGACCGGCTGTCCAACCGCTTTCATCTTCCTTCCCAATTATTGACACCGGCCACGCGAGTCTGTCCCTCTCACTACGGAACATTATCCATCCTCTTCGTTGTCCTCTAGGAAACACGTTAAGCAGATCCGTTTCACACATTCCCGGAATGCTGTGTGATACCGGCTTTCCGCGTTTCCCTCCCCCCGCCCTCCTCTATACACTTCTCCCGTGCCCAATCCCTCTCGTAGCTGCATCAACCTCAAATCCATGTTCATTACGGATAGATTCCTAAGCCATTAACATCCCTATAATCTTCCTCCGTTCCGGACAACGCCATCAATCCTCTCCACCCTAATCCAGCCCTTTCCATCTCAATTTTCCTGATCATCCTTCACCCGTCCGGCAATCTTGTAAGATACGATAATGCGACGAAGGCATCGTTAGACTCTGTCCTGAGGTAAAATGCGCGACAAAATGTTATCAAGCGGCTCGCGCGGGCGACGGCCGAAACGGATTTGTATCGAATATTCAACCGGGATATGTGTTGGGTTGATTCATGGATTCGTGCGGATTTTTGAACAAAATTGAAATGTTGCATCTCGTTCTCGTTAAAAACAACGTTATAAAATGAAAGAAGAGAAAAAGAGGCGTATCCTGGTTCTCTCATATTATATAATCGATATATTGGAAGTTATAATATGCAGAAGTAAACCCGAAACTTTGAATAACGATTACAATATTGGGTTAACCCATGGGTTCGTGCGGATTTTTAATCAAAATTGGAATGCCGTATTTTATTTTTGTTATAAACAACGATATAAAGCGAAAAAAGAGAAATAAATCCGAATCGAAATTTTGATTCTACTTTTAGCTTCACTATTCCATTCAACAACTATTGTGATACTCTGAAATCTACATCAATCTTTTTTATCCTCTTTTAATTCTATTTAATTGACTTGAGTCTAAATTTTGATCCTACTTTCAGCCTCACTATTCCATTCAACACCTATTTTGATATTCTGAAGCCTATAATACAACTTATTTTAACGCTAAAAAAAGTGAAAAAGAAAATTCGAACATCATCAGAGTCAAAGCAGGACTAAATTGAATCATTAGAATTAAACCTTTGCTACCTAGTTTATTTATTAACTTAGCTTCTGCTACGTTGTAAAATTCAAGATTTAACATAAAGCAAAAATTTCGATTTGGAAAAGCGTTCTGTTCTCTCATATTATGTATAATTGATCCCGAGTTAAAATTTTGATCTCACTTTCGGCCTTACTATTCCATTCAACACCTATCTTGATCCACTGGAATATACGTCAACCTTTTTTTTATTCTATTCAACTCATTCGAATCGAAATTTTGATGTTGCTTTCAGCTTCATTATTCCATTCAACGCTTATTTTGGCGCTAAAGAAAATGAAAAAGCAAATTTCGGAAAAATTTCATCAGAGTCAAAGTAGGAGTAAATTGTATCATTAAAATTAAACCTACTTTGCTAACTTAGCTATTACTAGAGAGTGTTGTAGAGTTCAAAGTTTAATAGGGCTAAAATTTCAAGTCGGGATATTGGAAGTTATACATAAGTAAATTCGGGATTTGGAATGACGATTATAATATTAGGTTAATCCATGAGTTCGTAGGAGGATTTTTAAACAAAATTGAAATTTTATTCTCGTAAAAATTTTATTCTTTTAAAATCATTTTAATTAGCAATATGCGTGCGCCGTCTTATTAGGCAATCTCTTTCGCCATCTTTCACGCAATTTCATAATCCGCCTCTCGTAAAACTCCTGTGCTTTTCCGGAGGGAAGGAGTTCCCTCGTTCTGAGTGATTTTCCACATCTTTAAAGGAGCAAACTTTATACCGCCAAGGTAGTTCCGTAACGAACGAAACAGACGATAATCAAAGGGAAGAGGGAGAATGGAGCAATGTCGGGTGAATGAGGGTGAGTGAGGCGAAACATCCCAGCCAAACTCTAACAAATTTTTGCTAAAGCAAAGAGGCATAATGCAACGGAAAAGCTCATTACTGCCTTCCACTTTCGAGCCGCAACAAAACAACTGCACTTCTTCTTTAAGCACACACTGTCACACTCACACTACGCAAACTACACTCTGAAATGTCAGCCATCAAAGCGCACATGTAGACGGCCAACTGTACGGAAATCACCCTCGTAATACCAATATGCGGATGCCAAATGGACAAGAATCTGCAGGATCTTATGGATCAGCCCAATATTTCGCGCTCGCGCATACGAGATGTCCCTGGAGCGCGACCGTTTCCCTTTTCTCTCGTTTATTTTTTTATCAGGCCGAGATGGGACGCTTCCGTCGCGGACGCAAATAGATTTACTCGATTCCGCCTGTAATCGGAGGGGCACGGGGAGGGGGGTGTTGTCTTGCCGCGTTTCCAGGGTACGTGCCGTGGCCGGAGGAATGGAAAAGTTCGCATGACGCTATCGGTGCCGTACGTACGCGACCGAGGAATCGCGGCGTCGACGATCCGCCGCGACTGCTGAATTCGACGTTGTCGTCGTCGTCGTCGTCGTCGTCATCGTCGTCGTTCTCGTTCCGAGGATATGTTATTTCCAAGAGAGCTTCGCGTCGCGCGGATCAAGTGCGCAATGGCGGAAAGTGGGCCAGGTCGGCGGTAAGTTAACGGCGACAATGTAAAGCAGTTCCAACCCTTTGCCCGACTCGATAGCGCCTCGCGGCTGCGGGATTAAACTTTAGATAGAATCGCGAACTTTATTTATCTACTTTGATAGCGCGCGCGCGCGCGTGAGTAAGAAAGAGAGGGTTGAGTTTCTTCGTCCTTAAATTGAACCGGCTTTCTTACTTTCTCACACTTTCTCTCTCTCTCTCTCTCTCTCTCTCTCTCTTTCTCTTCTCTTCCTCTTGCCGCCCTCGAGCGACGCGCTACATGGATGACACCAAACGAGATAAACCTCTAATTTCGGATATGACGCACGTTATCGCGCGGGCTTTAACAGCGACACGTTAAACCTGCGCGCCGTGGTAACAGGTACTTAAATAGATTCGAGCGGCTCACTTTAGATGGGGATCTAACTCTCTCGCGAGTGATTTTCGACAGTTATCGACGAGGCGGCCGTCGCGTTTGCATTTTCTCCGGGCAAATGCATCGCGATAGTAAACGAGGGGAGTATCGGCGGGGTGAACGGGACGGCGAGGGGCCGACGGCTCTCGAGGACGACGCTGCTGCTCGGTGTGCTCGAGATTTCCCGTACTCAGTGTGATTCCTCATCAAGTTCCATTATTCCCCATTAACCTTATTCGTGTTCCTCATTAATCTTCATTAATCCCCGGCGAGAAGCTATGGCTAACCGCATTCGCGTCGTCTCCGCAGCGAGTCCTCCAGCAACAAGAGACGATGTTATCGTGATACTCGCTCAGTTGACTCTTGACAGGGACGACATGTCCCACCTCGACCCGCATGGAAATTTCTTAGTATTTTCCCAAATGCAGGTTAGATTCCAATCAGAATGCCTAACTTTGTCCCAAAATAGATTATCCCACTACGATACCAGTTGGGAATCCGATTCTTGTCTCAAAATAGATTATCCCACTACAATATCAATTGAGAACTCTATTATTGTCCTAAACATGGATTCTCTGTCTAGAATCGGAATAGAAATATTAAGAAGACTCGAGTTTTTTAAAGTCTTCTCTGCATCAGTTTTTTTATTGATGCAATAAAGACAATACAAGTATTTTCTCTGGCTTACATTATTTTATGTTAAAACGTAAAATAATATATTTTTATTTTATACAAAATACAACAAGTGTGATAAAATACATTTGTATATCTGAAGATAATTTGACGATTTCAAACATTTATAGATAGGAAGAATTTATCGGATATTTATACATTGACTTTCATTTAGCTCAAATGCTTTCTATTACAATTTCTATATAATGATTTTTCTCGCAAACACTTTGGGTATTTACTCTTTACATGTGTATGTATATAGACTTTGGGAATACATAAGAAATTTTACATAAGGAATAACTTCTCAAAGTGTTTCATATGTTTTGCTCAATTTTAGCCTAAGATATAAACAAGAGAAAATCTTTGAGAAACGTTGGGGATTATGTAATCTGTTTGGGTTTCCCACTTACCCAAGTTAAAATTTTGGCCCTAGGTTAAATCTTGAATTCTACAACGCACAAGAACTAAGTTAGCAAAGTAGGTTTAACTCTAATGATACAATTTACCCCTACTTTGACTCTGATGATGTCTCTAATAAAGGGAAATTTCCCTTTTCATTTTCTTTAATGTCAAGATAGGTGTTGAATGGAATACTGAAACGGAAAGTAGCATCAAAATTTCGATTCGGATAAGTAGGTTAAGTAGAATCAAAAGAGGTTGATGTAAGATTCAGTATATTAAAATAAGTGTTGAATGGAACATTCAGTAAAGCTGAAAGTAAGATCAAAATTTCGACTCGGGTAAATTCGCTTGTTTAAAACATTACATTTCTAACCAGAAACTGCATAGATTTCCTTTCTAGAACGATTATTGTAGGCAATTTGGCTAAATCCCAAAGTATTTTCTCTGCGTTGTTTCAATTCTAGTTTAAAATATAAACCAGAAAAAATCTTCAGGAAAGCGTTGAAGATAACTAATTGCGTCTGTTTCCCACTTAGATTCACTTGTTTAAAAAAAACATTACATTTCTAACCAGAAGCTAAATAAATTTCTTATCTAGAATCTATGATTATTGTGGTTACGAAGTCAGGTTGGATCTCGCTTAGATTCAAAGTATCTTTTGGGGAGTAATATCGAGTTCGCGAGAGTCTAATCTGACGGGAAGGAATAACTTGACGAATCGCACTTGTGCTTGCTTGCTTGCAGATTCAACGGAGAGGCAACTGTCGGACGCGCCGTCGACGAGCACGCCCCACGAAGCGTCGAAGGTGCGATCGTCCGGAATGAAACATTGAGATAAAGGACGGCGCGCATTACCGGCGCGCGCGACGTTTACGACGGGCTTCCCCGGTCCCCGGATAGCCGCAAAACTCGAGCCCGCAGTAAAGAAGCGGTACATGCGCGACGTGTTCTTCAGCCAAGTATCGGCAGTTTCCGCCGCTGTCCCCGTATCGACCGCACAAAGCCCCGCGGGTTTCCGCTCGCGGAAACGACGATCTGTCCGTCTAACCGGCTGAATTCAACCTGCGTTGAATTCGCGCGACAGAAGTCTCGGGAAATTGCTTTCCTCGAGCGCGACAATGGACACGTATCGCGTCGCTCGCACTCGATCCTCTCTTCCGCGAGCCTCCGATCTCGCGTAATTCGTACACGATTTCGTAGCCGATGAAAGTAATCATGCCTCAAGTTGATGATGCAGTCGAACGGTCCTTTTGTCGAGAGCTCGCGCGAGGACATCGCAATCGTATAGAGGGCGTCCTGGCCCGACTGATGCGAGATGCAGCGCACATTAACTCGTGAACAAGAGCGATCGTCCTAATAAATCGATCGCGAGGTCGCGGACAGAGGGAAAAGAGAATCGCACGCTCGGTATCATCGAGTTCATCTCTCCCCACAACGGTGGTGTCCGGTTTTTCGTCATGCGAGCGAAAGTCGGTGGACGAATGGCGACGTGCGTCGCGTCGGGCTTATCGTCCGGCTTGTACTCGCTGACCCGGAAGGGCTCGAGATGAAAGCGCGCGCGTTCGGATCGCGAAATGTCGGAAGGGCTGATCGGATGAAGAGGACGGGACGGGAAGGGACGACGGCCGAAGATATGGCGGCGAGTATTCGCGGCGGGCAAAGCCGTCGTCGTCGCTCGCCGATCATGCTGCTGGTCGTGGCCGCGTGTTGGCTGCTGATGGCCGGCCCGTGCGCCGGCCAGAAACCCATCAATCTTGGCGGCAGCAAGAAGCGCGACGTCTACATCGCCGGTTTCTTCCCGTACGGCAACCACGTGCCGGAGGGCCACATCGGCCGCGGCGTCATGCCCGCGGTGAAGCTCGCGGTGGAGCACATCAACGAGCACCCGACGATACTCAGGGACTACCGGCTTCACATGTGGTGGAACGACACGGAGGTAAGTTCTCGTTACCACGACATTTTCCGGGATCACGGGTCCAGTTAGAAAGTCCGCGCGGAGAGAAAATGAGGAGAAGGGGATGTCACTTTTGTTCAAGCACGATTGCCACAAGAAAATATTCGTGTTACTTTCCGCCCATGCGTGCACGAGAAGAGCCAAGTCCGGCTAACTGAATGGGATCAAATTCGACGAGAAATAGTATTATCTCTGTTACTGTGATCAAAAACATTCGTCTGAACATTTAGTTGGATTAAAACTCGGTTGAGGCCGAGCAATTGGCTGAGTAGAAACAGGATTCCTACAGAAATCTTTCTGTTTCTACAATCGAGTTTTTCACTTGGTCCTCAAGTAACAGAAAATTCAGTTGCACTAACGGAGTTGTTTCTTTCGTTTGCGAAATTATAGCAACCATGGAACTGGTATCTTTCTTATTGCTTGTCAGTACGCGTTTGAGCGGTATTCTCAAGATTGTATATGGCGTAACCAAACCCTACGATTCTCCCTCAACTATAGTATTTGTTCTGCAAACCGTTACAGAGAGACAGCAATATTTTTTTAGTTGAGGCAGCTATGCAGGATATCTGAAATATCGAGACATATAAAACTACGTGTGAAGGTAGAACACGTCAACCTGAGTACGAGGATCCCTGGATTTTGCAAACAATACGTGAAAAAGTGCGATCAAGATTGGCCCAGGGTCATAGATGAAAAGTTCTGAAACCATTTTAGGCTTCAAATAAAGTTTATGGCGTGTAGATTGCAAATACCAAAGTGTTCAGGTTCCACAGATATCGCCCATTGAAAATTTCATGAGATGACGCTAGTGTTCTCCGAGTTGAACATCAGCCATATCTCTGGAACCTGAGCACTTTGCACTTGCATACTTATGATCTACGCAGCCTAAGCTTTATTTTAAATCCAAAATTACTTCAAAACTTTTTGATCATGAATCTGGATCAGCGACTTATAGGCATTTGGCCGCACTCCTTTGAGATATTAAGAAAAGAAGATTAGCGAGCTAAAGTGCGCGACATTGTAGGACGAGTTCTGTTAGTGCGAGGTCTCATCGAAAATGGCTGAGACGTGACTGTTTTTTAGCGCCATGCTCGCGATACATCGAGAAAGGCGCCGTTCCGCGCCGCTCGTATTCTTACTCTGCCTTCAGCTGTTAGCCGATATCCATTCATACTAAAAGGCAGCCGCGTTTTAGCTATTCTTTATGATATCTTACGCTTATACAGAGTGCCACAGCTCGATTTCACAATCTCTCGTGAGGACATAAAGCGGATAAACAAAAAAGTCCAATACTGTTTTGCGATATTCGCAACAATTATCGAGATATTAATTAAAGAAGAATTGTTTGGCATTAATCGATGAAAATTTTCTTCGACTAAGTAGCGAATCAACAATTAAAATTAATTATAATCGTCATGTATGTAATTACGAATAATTTCATCGACTGGTGAAATTAATTATTAATTAATATATAATTATTAATTGGCGTATAATTAATCACGTCAAAGTTGGATTAACAATTAATTTAGTCACTCGATGAAATTGTTTGTGACTCTACACATGATTGATTAATTTCCATGATTGATTAGTCGATTGTTTTTGTCAAAGAACATTTCACTCGATTAATGCTCAACTCTGTCTCCAGAGTGTATATACAGAGAAAAATATATACTGCATTCAAATGAGGTCGTTTCAAGTATTTCATAAATTTATATATTTCGAATCCTAGTGAGGGTTCAGCACTTCAATCAAGAATAAGAGTTAATATATTGAAAGACTGTGAAATTAACAATCTCAAAGAAAGAAAGCTTGTAAAGAAGAGCCTACAAGAGTTGAGCGCTACATTGAGAGAAATTACTCAATAAGAAATTAACAAACGAATATTTCTGTCCGAAAAGAAATTAACAAATGGATCAAAATACCGGTGAATTTTTATATTAAATCAAGAAACATCCGATAAGAAATATCAGTTCATGATTTTTTAATCGGTTTATCTGATGAAATGCTATTATGATCGGAAATATCCGATTAAATTTAATCGGATCGAATATAAGAATTCATCGATATTTTGATCGAAAATATCTGTTTGGTATTTTTTTATTGAATAATTTCTCTCAGTGTAGGAAATTGTACGTAAGATGTAATAATGTGTAAAGTGCAAATAAACTCGATGCCAATATCAACTAGTTCGCGATGCCAATATCAATTAGTTTGTGATTCGCGAAAAAATAACGAATGTTATATTCACTACAAAACAGCCGGTTTTCGAAAAATTCGTGCTACAATCGATAACAATTCTGAATACTCGGCGACAATTCTGAAAATCCACGTTAGAGACTTACAATTATGATATATTATAATGTTTCAGTCGCGGAATAGTATTATTAAATTTTGTAATAATTTGATATTTTACAAAATACCACCACGACCATCAATTTATTTTGTAAAATTTAATTATATTATTTTCAAGAACGTTAATTACCATTAAACTTTTATCTGAAACGTTTTTTATCTCTCACAGTTTCGAAGATATTCCCTCAAAACCAAATATGCCAAATTACTTTTCAGAAAGTGTTTTTACTTTTAAAATTGCAGGTACAAAAACATATCTATTATTTTTACTACTCTGCAAGTGTGTACTAAGTTCCGATTAAAATCGGCGAGTGACAAAAAGGTAGCTTTACTTGTGAGTAAACGACTAGGAAGTCGTGTGCACGAAATATGTACAAAGATGTAATATCTTATATCATCGTGTAGCGAGATTGCGCGATATACAAACTTTTTGATCCCTCCCTGGATTTTTCCAATATAAACGGAATTAACGGCACGAGTTAGTCGATGTTGTACATATCGTCACAGTTAACAAATGAGCTTACGTAGCAAAAGAAAAATTCGAGACGGCGAGACGCGAATTCCCCAAGCATGTGCATTATAACGTGAATACTATATAATCCACACGTTTGAGAAATACGTTCATAGTTTCAAATTTTTCTTCTGCTACGTAAGTCCTTGTGTTAAGCGCGGCACTGTGTGCAATGTCGATTGACTCGTGCTGTTAATTCTGTGAATTTACATTAAAAAGGACCTAATAAGGGATCAGAACGTTTGTACATCATGTAATCTCGCTACAGAATTATGCAAGATATTGCATCTTCGTATATTATTCGTGCACGACTTTTTAGCACTCACCTTTTCTGCATTTCTTTTTGGATTGTCAATCAGGAATATCGAATTAGGAGGATAATTCAGTTTGCTTACTACTTAGAGTCGAAGCAATTTTCTCTTCGCTTTCCTTTTTTCTCTTTGGTAACATTCTTGAGTAAAGAAAATGAATTCCTTTTGCTGAGCGCACGATAATAAGCTTTTCTCAAATTTGTGACGGGTATATTTGAAGACTATTATATCGAGGAGATATTCCGTGTTGAAGATACCCATTACTTGGAAGAAGGAAAGTCAACTGTGTAACCGCTTCTCTTGGCAGCGGAATGATATTTTTCTGTGCAGAAAGCAAACGCATTATATATCATAATTGTACGTCTCTAATATGAATTTTTAGCATTGTCCGCATGTTATTGGTCGTTGCACGAATATTCCAAAAACCAACTGCTTTGTAGTGAATATAACGTTCGTTACTTTTCCGCGAATCACAGAAACTGGTTGATACTGGCACCGGGTTGGTTTGCGTATTATACGTTAAAATACGGTCCGGTTCGCCGCGCATGGAAAACAGTATAATTTCGGTTATTCCGCCACTCGACGTTATAGAGTCGGAAATAATCCCTATGTTTATTCGAAACAATGGTCCGTGCTCGTAACAGCACACGAGCGCGGTGTATTTTTTCCTGGATCGACATGCGAGTCGAGAGAATTAAGCGAGAAATCACAACGGGGGATGGGCCTGAAATCACCCTGGTAAAATTCGTTGTGCAAATGCGGCGAATTTGGATCTGTCGAATATTTGATGGCTGAACGCGTTATCCCCGTGCGCGCAAGAGAGAGAGAGAAAGAGAGAGGAAGGGATATATATACAGAGAGAGAGAGAGAGGGAGGGAGAGAGAGAATGAGAGAAGGGGGGAGAGAGAGAGGAGAGAGAGAGAGAGGGAGAGAATGAGAAAGAAAGAGAGAATGAGAGGGAGATGGCTTTTGCCTTTGCCAGTTGCTGCGCAACGGTCGATACATCCAGCAGCAACCGCCACTTGTATCTCAATTTCCGCTGAATTAGGAGCTATCGACGCGGCACGATTTATCGCGTTGTTTACCGCCAGGATGGCTGCGATCGCCGCAAATTCCGCTGAATCCTCGCCTAATCCCGCGACTCTGTCTCTACGGCGACGGCGGAGAGAACGCGCGGATCGACGGCGTTGACAACGTTGTCTTGCGGGGGGTTAGGGGGTTAGGTTTCGCGACACGCGCGCCTGTCCTCCTCTTCGGCTTCCTCCGCGGCTGCTATGCAGCGCGCACTCGACGGCCTCGAGTCGGCCAGACGCGGGGAAATTGCAGAGGGAAAACTTTTGCGAGAAGTGGAAGCGCACGCCGAGTCAAGGATAGCCCGGCACGGCCGCAACTTGGAGGGGAAACTTCGCGTTTACCTTTATGTAGCGTCTCCTCCAACTATACGACACCCACGAACTTGCGCGCGCGCGGAGTCTCGCGGAATTAGGTCCCTCCGAGGCTGACGTCTGCATTCGAGGGGGCGGTGGATTCGCGCGCTTTAAATTATGGATGGAAATTTATGCGAACGCGCCGCGCGCGCGACGTCTATGAAAAACAATGCGCGAGTCGTCGAGCGGTGAACAGCGGTATAAATCGCAGTTTTCTCATTTCGAGGACCCAAGAGGATTTGTAAGGCTGCTCGAGGCTGCTAAAAGCGGCACCGGTTACAGCTCTTTCCCATTTACAGCGCGCTCGTGATTGTCATGTGCCTCTCTCTATATGTGTGTATGCGTGTGTGTGTGTGTGTGTATGCGCGCGAAAGATGTAATATTTTATTCTACGTCAAAGATACGCTTTACGCGCATTACGCTTTCGGAAGATGCGCGTACGGCACTATTGTTGACTCGAACTACTACTTCCATATGACGGCTCCTATCGGCCTATGTCGACTCCCTCGCGAAAAGAGGCGAGGCGTGGTGAGCAGCTTGGGCAAAATTATCATGTCGGAAATTTTCTGTGCACGTGGTCTGCACCTGAAGCGACCGCTGACCGGAACGAAATAACGCAGCGAGATTATCCTGTTAAATATACTCGACATTCTTTCGATAAAGCCAGGCGGGCTGCGGAGCAATATATATATGTATATATATATATGTATATATATATGTGTGTGTATATATATATAATGTTCACATAGCCATGTAGCAGTGCTCTCGCCACGCTTTTTCTCGCAATGCAAGGTAAACAGCCATGAAACGGCGCGTTCTTTTTTTTCCTCAATATAATTTCCTGTCCGCTGAACTCGGAGAATCGCGCCGCGATTTACGATTACGGCGCGCTCGCGCGCGGAAAATCGCTCGAGACTCGAGGAGCAGAGACATCGAATTATGAGAGAGCCTGGAGTCAGCTCTCGGGAGTGGTCGAAGGCGGCAAAAAGTACTGGAGAGCAGCTTGTACGCGAAGGACGATAAAAGATTAATCGCTTCCGATTACTTGTCGAAAGGACATTGTGGAAATTTATGCGCGAGTCAGTATATATGGTGAGCCACGTGTATCTTGATATATGCCGCGATAGTTACGGTAAATAAGAGGAAACATCAGCGGTTGATACTCCACCTGTTTTCGGCGCTTTTGAGCGGATGTTGACGAGTTGTGTTAGAAGAATTATCAGGAATTTGAAAGAAGACGAATAAGTAAAAACACGTAATAATAAATATTAAGTAATATTAAATAATAATAAATAATAAAAAGTAACAATATTAAATAATAATTGATAAATAACACTGGACAACAATGTGAAAATGCTTTTGAGATTAAAATGTTAAATTCTGAATAATTTTAATATGCTGAACACGAATATTACCGCGCAAATTGACTCTCGTTTAGAAAATAAATCCATGTGATCCGTAATAAAAATGATATTACGTATTAATAATACTATACTGTATTGTAATACTTTGGAAATGCTTATTTACACTCATTCCATGGAAATCGTGACCGGAATACAATATATAAAATAATATAATATTAAAACCGAGTGCGCGCGACCAATGATTTTCATGTCAGCTGTAACTTGAAAACGAAAAATCATACCGTAACGAATGCAAATATATTTTAAAGGTAAATGTTGATATTTTTGCGTATTAATGTAATTTAGGAGAAAAATTCGTTACCAATGCCCAAAAAATATCATGAAAATCCTCAAAATTATCGTTTTTCACAGTTTAATCGACACTTTTTCCAAAATTGTGACCAAATAGTTAAATCTGGAGAACGGATTTAGTAGATAAAAATATAATTATCAGTAACAACTATTCACATTCGTAAAGTAAAGAAATGATGAAATTTTATTGACCAGTTGAACAAGTAGTTAATAAATCTCCGTACATCTTAATAGCTGATGGAGAAAGAATGCCGAAAACTGGTGCAATGAGAAGGGAATTTGATATTTGTGACTATCATCACACACACTGAGAAAAAAGCAGTTAAATCGATAAAATCCATGGTCAACGGCCATCAAAGAAATATCTATTCAACAATATACGTGTTAATAACAATAACTACAACAATAAGTTGCGTTGAAATGTCTCTATCTGCATTGATACAGTAATATCAACGCAACTTATTGTTGCATTAATTCAGTGCATACAGAAAAATAATGATTACAAATTATGGTCGAGAAAAACATTTTTAGTTAAATTCTACAACAATGTTAATGATAATAATCTTATACGCATGTTATTACCACAATTTTCGTGTTGGAACAACTAAAAAAATGCGATTGCGACCAGAAATAACTGTAATTTTAATCAGATCAACTATTTTTTTCTCTCAGTGTGGATGCTGTAACGTGCGCCTCTTTTTTGCTGTCGCTCCCTTCTCTTTCTCTCTTTTTTTTCTCCCTCTCTTCGCCGATTCAGCGAGCGATCGAGCAATGTAATGTGAAATTAATTCTTCTCATTTTCTCTCGCTGGCGTGCGAGAACGGCCATTTTCGAGACGGGTTGCACGGGTTGGACGGGAAAAGGAGGGGGAGAGGGTGCGCTTTATGACACGCAATCGTATAATTAAGGAATCGGACTCGTTTCCGCGAGTCGACGCCGCGCTTCCGTAATTTAACCTGAGACATCTGAGCACAAAGAGACATCTCTTTCCCTCGTAATGGCGGATTATCCTTCACCATCTGCTGCAACAATGCGGCAGAGCCACCGACAATGCCCATTGTTCAAGATCGATAAAATTGCCCGATGCTTCTGCTCGTTTTCATAGTGTTTTGTTTGGAACGCGATCCGGTTTACCTGGTTCCGCCAGCTTCTTTTCAGCTTGGCACGTCGTGATCGTCAAACGGCGACTAATGAACTCAGAGTTCTCTTCCTTTCTCGAGTTACGCGCTCCTCCCTCGTAACGTGATTTCCACGGGCGGATTTTTATCTCCGCCCGTGATAACCCCGGGACGTATCGGAAATCGATGTAAAATAGAACGGGGGACGTGCAATAAACGCGATATATACGCGGAATCTCTCTAGGCGGAGGCGGCGGCGGCGGCGGCGGCGGTGAATGCGGGCACGTGATTTTAAAAAATTTTCGAACGCGGTCTCTCGCGCTCCTCTTTAAATGAGCATTTTTAAATGAAAAGATAATGGGAGATAATAAGCGGTCCGCAGCGGGAATTGCGCGCGGACGAAATGTAACAGTGTAGAAATAATCGTGCGATACTAACGGGAGCAATTCAGAAAAGTGCCGCCGCGTGGTTCTCGTCTTGAAAATAATCCTGATTGATTGCAGAAATTCCCGCGACCGCGTATAATAAATTCATTGCGCTTAGGCGAGAGGAGACCCATTCCATTTCAGCCCAACCAGAACTCCTCTATTTTCATTCGTGTAATTATATCCTTTCATATCTTGTCTTAGAAACCGGGTCATCCGCGCTCGCCGACGATGAGCGGGCGAAAGGAAAGGCGCGCCGAAATCAATTTCTACGTGGGGAAAGAACGCTCGAAATGGCGACGATGTCGAAGGAACGTGCAGACGTGGGACCCCAAACGAAATGTGCGAAATGCCGATGATCGCGTTCGCAAAAAACAATTCGTAGCTCAAAGATCACCCACCTCTCTACCCCCTTCTCTCTTTCCTCTCCGCCCCGCTCCGCTTCACTCCTGCTGTCTGCTCCTCAGATCGTTATTTTGGCGACGCGAGGCGTAAAGCGTTTTATATTTACCCGCGTTAAATATTTATTCTCGTGCGAAGCCGCGCAACTTTCCAAGGCAAAGTTTCACCTTCGGCGAGAACGTTTAAAATACCCTTCGCGCGTTCATTATAAAAAACCATTATGGCGTATAAATAGCGGGAGTTTTCCGCGCTTCCTCCTCCTCGAGGTAAATAAGATCGACGAAGGTGTTTGTGCATGTATCTTCGATAAATACACGACGTCGGTTCGCGCGCAAGTTTCCGATCTCTCGATAATTGCCGGGGGTATCGGCATCTAGACGGCATCTCGCTCGCTCGCTCATCTCCCCTCCCTCCCTCCTTCCTTGCCCTTGCACTCCCCGTTTCGCGCGCGCAGATTTGGCACAGCTCTATCCACGCCGCTCTTCTCTATTTTCTGGCCGTGCCCCAACAAACACTTGTTGATTCTGCAAATATCAAAGAGGGGCTTTCGATGTAAGAAACGATCACTTTCCATCTTGATGCAAACATACCGTGTAAACGCGAGAAGGCTCGGGGAGGAGCGCGCCGAGATGCATCCGACAATATTTACACGCGATACTCTCTCACGGCTGAGCGTATCCCCAACTGATTAAATTGATCCCCCTTTCGACGATACTCGGATATTCCTCCGATTCCCCGTAGACGTACACCTCCGAGAGCTCCCGGCGCTTTTTAACTTCAAAGACACTGAGGCAGTCACTGCTTGCGAGAAAAGCGCGCGGAGGCTGAGGGATCGCGGGTGCATATACCACATTCCATTCTTCTGTGCTTTTTCCAGTGCAGCGCCGCCGTGGGGATGAAGGCGTTCTTCGACATGATGCACAACGGGCCGCACAAGGTGATACTCTTCGGTGGTGCTTGCACACAAGTCACGGACCCGATAGCGAAAGCCTCGAAACACTGGCGCCTTACGCAGGTAATGCGATGGTAAAGCGTTGTCGTAAATATTCATGACAAACGAGAGAGAGAGACCATCTCCACCCTTTGTATCCCGGCTTGTTTGCATATTTGCGCGCGCGCGCGCGCCCACGTATACACGAGAGCACACGCGGGAACAGTGAGAGAAACACGCGCAAGAGACTCGCGAAGGAGATGCAGTTCTTCACCAACATTGACTCTCCTCTTCGCCCTTACTGTTGCAGCTCAGCTACGCAGACACCCATCCCATGTTCACAACCAATAGCTTCCCGAATTTCTTCAGGGTCGTGCCGTCCGAAAACGCCTTGAACGCGCCGCGAGTGGCGTTGCTGTTGCACTTCAACTGGACGCGGGTCGGCACGATTTATCAGAACGAGCCCAGATACTCACTGGTAAGACGAGCACACGACTCGACCCAAAGTACCAGAAAATTCTCTGGGCGAAATTGAATGGGAGCAGAGAGCAAGAAAGAGAAAGAGGAGAGGAGCCAAGAGCGATGTTTAACGGATCTAAGAAAATTGACAGTTATCGTACTAAATGTCAAATATAATTGAGAAAGTGGTTCAAACAGCGCTCCCGACAGTTGGAAGCAATTCGGGGAAATGAAAGGGTTAATTAATCCCCGCCGCGGGAGCGCGCCGTTCGTTCTCAACGTGCGCGCGCGGGACGGTGATGTATATTCAGCAACGGCTCCATTTACATTATAAATGGAGATTTGCCGCCGCTAGCGGCTCGTGTGAACAAGTTAAACGCGCGGACGCATTCGCGCGTTATAGCGAGGCGTTACAGCGCTCTCGCGATAAGCACTCGAATTGCGAAAGCGGAGCGGGTAAGCCCTCTCTCTCTCTCTCTCTCTCTTTCTCTCCTCTCGCTTTTCCGCCACGCTCTCACCCCCGCCCCCGCGTCTCCCCGTTGGTTCTCGCGCTTGCAGGTGCACAATCGGCTGGTCGCCGATTTGGACGAGAGCAAGATGGAACTCGTGGCGACGCTGAGTTTCGCCACGGAGGTGACGTCGGCCCTCGAAAAGCTCAAGGAGAAAGACGTGAGGATCCTCTTGGGAAATTTCAACGAGGCATGGGCCAGGCGAATATTCTGCGAGGCTTATCGTTTCGGCATATACGGCAGAAAATATCAGTGGGTCATCATCGGGACTTACACGAGGGAGTGGTGGTTACGACCGGGCGGCGGATGCGCACCCTCCGAGCTGTCCGAGGCTCTTCACGGTGTCATTCTGACGGATCTGCTTCCGCTGACGACCGAGGAACAGTACACCACGTCCGGGATCGTAAGCGAATCTTTCTCTGTCTTTGTCACATACACACGCACGCACACACACATACGTGCATAGCACGTTACTATAACTACATCGTTAGTTTTCGATTAAAGCCGCTCGAATTGCTCCGTGAGCGGTTGAATCCCATTCAACTTGGAAAGCGCTTGGACTTCGAATTAGAATCCGAAAGTTAGTCGCGACACAGCGGAATCAGCGGCGCTCTGTGTGATCGTTGCAGAAACGTCAGGCCGCGCGAATTCCAAGGCCGATATTTCTCCCGCGAATAGACACGGACGGAATAATATTTCTTCCGCGAGGTGTAAGCAGTGAACGCGAACGCGGTCTCGTGAGAATTTCGTGGAAAATCGCGACTCCGTATTGACTGATTCGTGGTTGTTGCTCGCATCTTCGGCATGCTGTAAGTATGCGCCGCCGTCAGGTATTTCGCGACGGGATATATACGAGGAGCTCGTGCGAAAATCGTGTTTAATCGCGCCTGGAGCGTTCGAGAGCCGCTCGATCGGAAACGACGAGCGTCCCACTGCCTCTTTGAGTTTCGTCATCGCGCGCGAGCACGCCTGTTGCGTCTCTCGATTGCGTTTCTCCGCAGACTCCGGACCAGTACCAGATCGAGTACGACTCGCGCCGGGGCGGCGAGTACTCCAGGTTCCACGGGTACACGTACGACGGCATCTGGACGGTCGCCCTGGCCGTGAAGCACGTCGCGCGCAGGATACGACATTTCCATCGCAATCAGACTATATCCGACTTCAGATACAGAGACGTATTATGGGAGAAGCTCTTCCTGGACGCCCTCAGGAATACAAGCTTCGACGGTGTCACGGTAAGCTGGCACGGCTGGCTGGCTGGCTGGCTGGCTGTCTGGTCGGCCCTAGCAATTTCATGCCATGGCCACGCTCGTTCCCCCTTCATGCTCCGAATGTACGGCCGGGTAATGCTGTTTGACACGAGGCTCTTAGTGCTAAGAACCGCGCCGTCGTAATATCTGCCGCGTGAAGGAGGAAAAATTTCATTGAGATTATCGTCCCACTCACGTTCACACGGCCTGCTTGACGATAGCCTCTCGCTGTCTCTCTCTCTCTCTCTCTCTCTCTCTGTCTCTTTCTTCGTCTCATGACGAAGCTAAGCGTTCTTCTCTTTCGCGTGATCGATCGCTCGCGCTTCCGAGTCGCATTGTTATTCGTGTCGGGTATGAAAGTACTCGCGCGCGACGTCGCCACGAAACTGCCCTCCGGGAATCACGAGACGAGGAAGAACTCATTTAAAGTGACGAGCGGAGAGAAAGAAAGAGAGAGAGAGAGAGAGAGAGAGAGAGAGAGGGAGGGAGAGAGAGAGAGAGAGAGAGAGACAGAGAGAATCGGCGGAAGGAAGACGTTTATAAAGAAAAGCGAAGATTGGAGAGCGGGGTCTTTAAGCTCTCTCTCATTAGACGAGCGGCAACCCTTGCCTTCGATCGTGGCGGCGAGACCCGACGGTCGCTGGCACTTTGTGCCTGTCTTAGACAGAGGAAAAGAGAGAGTGTGAGAGCGAAGAGAGAGGAGGAGGAGGGTGAGAGAAGGAGAGTGAGAGTGAGAGAGAAAGATGCTACGAGGAACGAGGCTGTGTTCTCCAGTAATCAACATCGTGGCATTTGCACCCGCGTGTTACACTTGACCGTCTTTTCGCACCCGAGTGTCTCAGGCGCATGCATCATTTTCCTACGCGCGCCTTCCGCGCGACCAGCGGTGCTGTGAATTTAATGAGTTCCTTTTCCTCCTTTCCTTTCCTCAGTTTTTTCTCGTTTCCTTTTCTCTTTCCCTCCTTTCTATTTTTATCTCTCTCTCTCTCTCTCTCTCTCTCTCTCTCTCTCTTTTATATTCACATCTTATATTCTCGCGCGGTACGCGTATAACGCCATGCATTGAGCACGTTTTAATATTCCTGGTATAACGTTATGCGATGAAAAAGGATATCGTGTACGTGTGCGAGCGACTATGGGCGATATGGCGGCGGCTGTACAATGGCGGGACGGGATTCGGCGGTGAACCGAATTGAAATTAAAACGAAATCAAAAGCATGACAAACCGCCGGGTGAGTTAGCGGAGTAAATTGACATGAGCTGATACTCCGAATCGCTGTGCGCGCGCGGGAGAGCGGGCTTTTTATTTTAAAATCCGATTCAGCTGCGTGACACCGCTCGTCCGTGGTAACACAACCGGGCATATGATGACACGGAATGTTAGGAATATAAAATTTACAGGGGCCAGTCCGCTTCTACGATAACGAGAGGAAGGCGTACATTCTACTAAAGCAATTCCAAAGTAAGTTGTATACCAGCGCAGAAATTTTAGGTCTGAAGCGACAGGACGAAGCGCCTATCTCGGGGAGAAATTCGGAGTCTCGTTTGTAGGTCATTAATATTAATACGCCAAGATTCGCGAGAGAAGTAGGACTTGCGGGATGGTACTCGCTTCTGAAAACCCGCGCTGAGAAAAAAAATACTTAAAAATTTACTTGTGGGATGCTACGTTTATTTCTTTGAAGTGAAATTTATTTCTGCGAGTAAACTTTATATTCCGCGAGTAAATTTTCAAGTCTCTTTTATATCTCAGTGCGGTTTTTCAATTCGGTTCGAGCGATCGTTATGTTGAAACAACCGATCTCGAAATCGATGCATGAATCCGTTCAAGTAACCGATAAACGATTAATGATGTTTGTTGCTTATAAACGACATATTTAATGAGACGTCTTGGACGCGACGATAACATACCGACATTTTTGAAAGACAAACCCATAAGATGATACAAGGTGTTTGACATAAGAGGTACAAAACCATGTGTGAAAGTAGAACACGTTAACTTGAGCACGAGGATCTCTAGCATTTTGCAAACATCTGCGTGAAATCTCGAAATATTAAAAAAAAGATTAGCGAACCTGAACGCACGATATTATGGAACAAGCTGTTTTGGTACGAGATCTCATTGAAAATGGTTGAAACGCTCTATCTTCACATGTAGTTTTGTATGTCTTGCGTCAAATATCCAGTATAAATCAGTCAAGCAAGAAGTTGCGAAAAAGGTTGTTTCGAATATTTGTGTAATTTTTGTATGTAACTTTTGTTGTCAATTTTTTGGTTCCCTTTTTGATTCAATTTTTTTCTTTTTTATAAAAGCTATTTTTTATAGTTTATTATTTCAAATAATTCGTAATTATGACAGATGCTAACGACAGACGTCCTTAGCATACCGTATCGACACTTGTCAGAAGGTACGTGCAGAACAGCGATCCTGGTTATCGGTTGAAGTGACGTTTACCATGGATATATTCTGGTTGGAGCTATCATGTATTGTCATTACTATAACCCCAGTAACTCAGCAACTGTTCTGCGGTTGCAGCAATCACATAATTAGTTGTTCCGTATCTTAGTGTTGAATCTGATTGGCACAACTATATTTATGTATGGACTAACCATATTTATAATGTCCAACCTGTTCTTTCCGTGTGCGGAATGAAATGCTCTGTTCAGCTCTGTTAGAGTTATATTCTGTGTCGTGTATGTTAGGGGAGATCAAGACTAGATGTCCCATGTTTTAGAATTTCGAAGTTACAACTTCTCAGGCAACTAATTGTTGTAACTGACTGCATAAACGTGATAGAGGCAACTTTCTTCTACGTATTAATGCCCGCCACGACCCTGTTAACTATATGTTTTATTTTGTAATAACCAAAATACGAACATGCAGCAATAAAAGCCATCTTGCCCTTGTATCGGGTTCAATAGTGCATGGTAAGAAGGCCACGTATAAAATATATATCATGATTAGTAGTTCCAGAGTCCCCGCGAGAAGTCTCCACAGCCCTCTTGCCGGCCTTTAATTACGGGCCAACTTTATCTCGTTCGCTCATTCAATTATTTTATGAATGAAAATTGCATTTATTATCAGTAACAGTATATCACACACTTCAGGAAGAAATTTCATTCTAGCTAGTAACGCATCGCTTAATTTTATTCAGTTAAGATGGAGAATATTAATGAAACTTTTGAGAAATTCGAAAATTTACTTTGCTATTACTAAATCAATTTTTTTTGTTTCTTAACTGTAATATTATTCCGATTTTAATGAAACTCACAAATCTATCCGAAAGTTATACTCCGATTTCTTTCCAATTTGGCACAAATGTAGAAGTACAAAAAATATTAAAAATAATTTTACACGTTTGACTTTATATTTATAATCACCAAACCAAAAACGCCTATATCTTGTATTCAATTTCATTTTTTATGCATTTTTGTTGTATTTGTTGATGATAGGAGTGAGAACATTAAAAAGCTATAAACTGCCCGTGAAACTCAAGTGGGTCAAAATGAAAAAATATGACTTAAATATTTGTTGTACTTCTACGTTTGTGCCAAATTAGAAAGAAATCGGAGTGTACTTTTTGGGTAGGTTTACTTGTCAAAGAGAAGTATTTATGTTCCAAAAGAACTATTTTGCGATTTTGTACCCATTATTCTTCTCAAGATAAATATTAAAAGAAGCACATGTGCTTCCACATATCCCTGAGGTCATATAGCCCCAATTTCCCTTATATATGTCTATGTTATTTCCACGAATATCAATCGAGTATCATTTCGTACGGCCCAGAAAGTTATTCGAATCGATTCATGCTTTGATTTCGAGGTCGGTTGTTTCGACGTAACGATTATTTGAACCGAGTTCAAAAGCAAGCACCATTTCACCACAGCCCTAGCTGAGCATCCTTAGAAGCATCCCGAGCGAAAAATTCGCGGGTTTGTTTTATAAAGTTTGATTGAAACAGTTATAACAGTAACCAGTTTCCGAATTCCGCGTGCACTTCACGGCTCAACGCGTGTACGTTTTTCATGTGTTTTCGCCAATGTATGTACGTGTCATAATCCGGATCTTTGTTCCGGTTCGGAAAAGTCGCATGGGAGTCGAGACAGGTGGCTGGCTCGAGATAGGGGCTTTAGCCTGTTTATTACCGTATCGACACGCGCGTCCTCAGTTCAATGTGAGTTCACCCTTTCTAGACGGCCGTGAGGTAAACGTAGGCGAATACGATAGCATAACCGGCGTGCTGGATCTCACGCGAGGGGAAGCCCTGCTGTGGAAGGGCAGAGCGCCGCCAAAGGACAGAACCGTTCGCATCATCGAGCACTCGACCGTGGACATCACGCTGTATGCGGTGTTAGCCTCGGTCGCCAGTGTCGGTATCGTCATGGCATCCATTTTTCTCATCATCAATATCAGATACCGAAATCAAAGGTGACGGGCTACGCCGTAATATGTAACAATTACACAAATCGCGCGTAACACGGGACCTCCATTCGGCTGGTGGATTATCCTTTTTGCCCGTCGCTCGGCTGAGAGCCGCGCGGAGCGCGTCTCACGCGTTAACTCAACATTGCAGATACATCAAAATGTCGTCGCCCTATCTGAACAACCTCATCATCGTCGGCTGCATGCTGACCTACAGCAGCGTCATCTTCCTCGGACTGGACTCGCAATTGTCGAGCGTAACGGCATTCCCGTATATTTGTACGGCTCGAGCGTGGCTGCTGATGGCCGGTTTCTCGTTAGCCTTCGGCTCCATGTTCTCGAAAACGTGGCGTGTACACTCCATATTCACCGACGTGAAGCTCAATAAGAAGGTAAAGACCGTGCCGATGTCGGCCGAGGATATATCTGTCGGCATCGGGATTGCGTCGCGTTTGTTTCAAATATTGACGAACTCGCACCGTCGATTCAGGTGATAAAAGATTACCAGTTGTTCATGGTGGTCGGGATATTGTTGACTATCGATCTGTCGATTATGACGACGTGGCAAGTGGCCGATCCGTTCTATCGGGAGATCAAGCAAATGGAGCCCTATGTGAGTAGAAACGTGAGAGGTGCATGTAGCAGATAAATCGGTGAAAAAATGTGTCTGCCAATATCCGCGTTCGCGCGATGGTGATATGTATATATATATATATATATATATATATATATATATATATATATATATATATAAAATATACGAAAAAAGAAAAATTCGGTTATACTTTTCGATTCCAGCACCACCCTTCGAGCGACGACATAATAATCGTCCCGGAAAACGAGTATTGTCAGAGCAATCAGATGAATATTTATCTGGGATGCATATATGCATACAAAGGCCTTTTAATGGTAAGTTAAGCTCGAACTCGCCGAGCTCTCTTGCTTTTGGACAGACAGAATGGCATCCCCAATGGGACTCTTGCCGGGCTTTCAGATATTCGGTGCCTTTCTGGCATGGGAAACGCGGCACGTTAGTATCCCAGCATTAAATGACAGTAAATACGTGGGGATGAGCGTGTACAACGTTGTTATAATGTGCGTCACCGGCGCGGCTATAAGCTTCGTGCTGACTGACAAACAAGATGCCATGTTCATAATGCTGGCGGTGTTCATAATATTTTGTAGTACAACCACTCTTTGTCTGGTTTTTATTCCTAAGGTACGTTTCACGCGTCTTAACTGCGTGGTATCCACTTCTGAGCGCATCTCTGATCTGTCGTGGGTGGTCCGACGTCGGGCGAGAGTGAGAGTCGGTCTTTTGTCGCTTTTGCAGGTAATAGAGTTACGCAGAAATCCACAAGGAGTGATAAATAAGCGGACCAGGGCGACTCTGAGGCCGATGTTGAAAATACGAAGGGACTCGACAGTCAGCGAGCTCGACGAGCGTCTGAAGGAGGCAAAGCTGGCGAATAAAAAGTTCCGGAAGCAACTGTTGCAAAAGGATTCCGAGCTTCAGGTAAGCTTTTACGTCTATCAAACTTTCAAACAGTATTACGTATAAACATTACTTCGCCGGAGTTGCGAAACGCTCGCGCCGGCTACGTCACGCAGGCTGTCGTCTCGTAGAGTTAGATCGAGACGCTCTTCTTCCGGACTTCGCGACTAGTTCAGCTCGAATTTTGGTGACAATCAAGTCACAGCGAAAGAGCGAGAGAGAAGTATCCCGCATCTTACACAACAATTGTCCGGCTGTGTTTAACCGGCTCTTCCCGTGAACGCAATTTCACTAAAACACTTCTTTAGCGAGCCCTACGCTATTTAATAAAACACTCGCCCGTGCACTCAACTAATTTGAGAGAAGTCGACCGCGGCGTTCGATTAACAGAAAAGCGAGAGACGCACCATCCATTCTTAATTCGACTATAAATAACCGCGACGTCGTCGCTTCGTATAGCTCGCCCTTTGAGAATAACGATCTGGGACTATTTCGGGAGATATATGCTACCACAGCGCCCGCACGTTTACGTAATGCTTAATTCAGAATGATGTTGTTCTACATCGAACGACGAGAGGGAAGCGGTTACTTCATCGTTTCTTTCGTTGTCACAGGGATTTTTGCGGAGGATGGGCGAGGAGGTCGTGAGCGAGACGCAAGAGACGGTCGACACGCTGCCGGTTCCGAAGCAGGAAGAGGTCGCTAAGAAGGAGGGTAAATGTGTCCCGGCTAATATATTGCCCGAACAGTGAGCGCGGCACCCCTATCGATTCCTCGTAATCAATTATAAGTAAAAACAAAATGACCTTTCAGGACCGTCGATAACCACAGAGACGACCGACATCTCGATGTCTATGTGCAGCCTAAACTCGTCAACCGTGTCTCAGCCGGAGGGCGATTACGTCAACGTAGATCAAGTAGCAAAGTACGTAGGCACATTTGACGCCACCCTTCGGCCTTAAGGGCTTTGTAACGTCTCAATAACCCTGTCCACCATTACCACTACCGCCACCATCACCACCACCACCACCACCACCAACCTCCCCCGTGCACTTTTCCCCGAGAGAGCCCGAGTGCACGCGATTCCATTCTCAGGGTAGTCGCGTGACGCTTGTTGCAGGAAGAGAGCGTCCATCGCGAAAACCACGTCGATCACGATCGACAATGAACGAATGGCTATGACGGCGCAGGCGATCGAGAAAGCGACCATCTCTCCGGACATGGAGACGGTAGCGGACGCGCCGCCGTCGCCGCCGCCGCCGCCGCCGACGACGACCATAACGACGACGATGACGACGACGATGACTATGACCACGATGACAACGATGACGACGCCGACGGCGGCGGCCGCCATGATGTACATGCAACACACCTGCGGCGCGGAGCAGGTGCCGCGACGCAAGAGCGTCCCCGGCGAGGTGAGCAAGAACGGTGAGCCGTTATTGTTGCGCAACAACCGGAGCCCGGAGCCGCTACCGAACGACATCGCGAGGACGCGCTACGACTTCGTGCCGCCGGTCGTCGAGGAGAGCGACTCCGTGATCCTGGAGGAGACCGAGATCGCGAGGCACGTGTGTCACGTGAGGAGAAGCAGGGACGAGCGCAGGGCGAAACTGTCGACGCCGCCGCCGACCAAGAACGTCTCCTTCGGCGAGCTTCACGAGCAGAGCTACATCGAGCAAGTGATCATGCCGTTTCCGCTGCAGTACGTGTCGAATCATCGGCATTCCGGTAAGAGTCAACGGGATCTCTAGTTCTTTCTCGTTTGTACGCAAGTCGCGCTGCTCTATCATGCGGTATAATCAGCGCGCACACTGACAAAAAAAGATACTTGAAAATTTATGCGTGGAATATACAGGGGAGACTGAGGTTATATGGCCCTAGGGGTATGTCGTTCATGTGCTTCTTTTTAGTATTTATCTGGAGAAAAATAGCGGGTATAAAATTGCGAAATGATTCTTTTAGATAACATAAATATTTCTCCTTGGATTTCATTAAAATCGGAATGATATTACGGCCAATAAATAGAAGAAGCTGACTTTAGTAATAGCAAAGTAAATTTCCAAGCCTCTCGAAATATTCTATTAATATTCTTCATCATGACTAAACAAAATTAAGCGGTGTGTTAATAGCTAGAATGAAATTTCTTGCAAGTGTGTGTATGATATACTGTTTCTGATAATAAATGCAATTTTTATTCATAAAATAATTGAATAGGCGAACAAGGTAAAGTTGGCTCATAATTAAAGGTCGGTAGGAGGGCTGTGGAGACCTCTCGCGGAGACTCTGCTACTACTAATCAGGATAAATATTTTATATGTGGCCTTCTTTATCTTGCGTAACTTAACTCGGCACTAGATAGAGCAAGAGGGTTATTATGTTGCTCATGTTCGTCTTTTGGTTATTACAAAATAAAACATATAGTTAACAGAGTCGTGGCGGGCATTGATACATAGAGAAAAGTTGCCCCATTATATTTATATAGTCACAACGATTAGTTGTCTGAGAAGTTGCAACTTCGAAATTCTAAAATATAGGACATCTAGCCCTAAAGTCCGTTTCTGTGAAATAAGTTTCATTTCTGTGAAGGAACTTTTTGGCCCGCAGATAAATTTTCAAGTATATTTTTTTTCAAAAAGTGTACGCTGAATCACAGTTAGAACCGCGAAAATCGCGCGGACAAACATAACTCTCGCGTACCAAGCACCAAATTTTGCAAGAGCCGTTTCATTCGCTTTCGGCGAAATCGGATTTGACAGGCAGAGTTACCACAGACCTGGAAAACCGGGGAAAGTCTTGCGAATTTAAATTGGTCAGGGAAAACTTTGAAAAAATCAGGGAAATAATATTTAAAAACCAAGAAAATCTGGAAAGCTTAGGAGAAGATATAAAATAGAATCTTTGTTCACAGTCGCGTCCGTGACTCAGAATCACGCAATTCTGCATTATATTTTGTTACTAAACTTCCAAGTTTGTATTGCTTTTAATAATATAAACCACCTTTTCTGCAATCCTTGCCTCTAAACGTTAAAATTTAAGATTAAATGGCGGTCATGGAAAATTCTCCATTGCCGTCTGGAAAACGTGGAAAAATCAGGGAATTAAAAAATTCATTTTCCGTGGCAACCCTGACACGAGATTCCGATTTCTCCGTTTCGTAATTATCAGATATCGTGTGATTCGCGAGATTTTCGCGACCAAACTGTGCTCTTTTCGGAACGGGCGCAAATTTTACGCGAGCAGTGCGCGACGAGGGCGATACGCTGAGCGAGTTCTGTTAACAGAGAAATACGAGGAGTCAATGTCGACCATCATCCAGCGCTCCATGTCGGAGCGCTCGCGGGAGAAGTGCCTGCGGTTGCACATCGGCGGCGGTCACCCCATAGTCGAGTGCTCGCACCGTGTCGCTCGCCGCATGTGCCGGCATACGGGCTCGAAGCTGCGCCAACAGGCACGGCTGGAGTACGTGCAGAGCACCCCGAACGTGGCGACGATGCACAACAGCAAACACGCCGTGGCAAATCCACGTGGCGGGACTGGCGACGTGAACGGTAACGTTATCGGCGAGATGCACATCCATTAGTCCGTTGCATTCGCGCCAAAATCGAGCACGAGATTGCGGCGATATCACTCCGTGCCGACGGAGAAGACGTCGAGACGATCGATAACGCGAGAGTGGGAAATCGGCCTCGATCCTGCCTACCGTGCTCTCCAAAGTACAATCGGTGTATTCTTCACTGAAACGCGCGCTATACTTATAACTGGCGGTTCAGTTATGAGTATGGCACTGCAATCGGTAAAATCTCGTCGAAGGGATCAGTTGATAGCAGCGACTGTTACCGTTATTGATGCGGTCTGCAAATACAGACAGTGGTGCGCCATCGCGCGCAAGTTGCACGAGAGCCGTTAATTCCACCACGAACGCAGAAAATCGGATTTCACACAGCATGCAACGAATTTGTGCACAGTCAGCTGATTAAGTGCAGCAATATTTTTCCTCGATGAGTTTCGTAACGTATCCAATAGAAGCATTTGTTTTTTTTTTTTTGTAATTCTTAGGCAATTTGTTTTCCCGTTGGATACGGAATGCCTTGCAAAATTCATTTAGGTAGAGTGTTGCCGCACTTTTTACCCTCCAATACTCTCTCGTAAGAGACAAATGCTTAGTTGAAATTTTATTTTTCAATTATATAAAAATGTCTTTGTCGGTTTCGAGACTTGCTAACTTTTCATTTACAATCTCTTAGATTATATTTGTATGGCCATTTTCTTAATTTCATTAATACAACTTTTACTAATAGACATTAATCTTTCTTAGCTCTCGGATAGAAGAACGTTTAGTTGAAATTTTATTTTCTGATTATATAAAAGTGGCTCTGTTGGCTTTGAAACTTTCTGACTTTATAATCTTTTAAGTTGTATTTGTATGGCCATTTTCTTAATTTCTTTAATATAACTTTTATTAATAAATATTAACTTTCCATTGCTTTTCTATGAGGTGAGCAGCTTTTTCCAGAAATTATAAAACTGATTTTGTTGGCTTTGTGACTTTTCTGATTTCTGATTTATAACCTTTTAGGTTATATTTGTATAGTCATTTTCTTAATTTCGTTAGTACAACTTTTACTAACAGATATTAATTCTCCATTACTCTCGTATATAAGAAAAGCGTTTAGTTGAAATTTGATTTTCTAATTATATAAAAGTGGCTCTGTTAGCTTTGAAACTTTTCGACTTTACATTTACAACCTGTTAGGTTGTATTTGTATGGTCGTTTTTTTAATTTCGTTAATAAAACTTTTACTAACAAATATTAATTCTCCATTGCTCTCGTATAAGAAGAACGTTTAGTTGAAATTTTATTTTCCAATTATATAAAAGTGGCTCTGTTGGCTTTGAAACTTTCTGACTTTAACATTTACATTTACAATCTCTTGGGTGGTATTTATATGATCGTTTTCGTCATTTCCTTGGTATAACTTTTGTTAATAGACTTTGGAAATATTAGCGTATGCTGATAGCGAAAGTAAATACGTAAAATTAATATGACTCGTAATACAATACGCTGTGTTATTAAATTTAAGCTTTACTCCAGTGGACCAGTAACAAATTATTATTTTAATACATCTATTCGTTTTTATGAAGCTGTATTAATGCAGTAATAATTAAATTTTCGTTTAAGTTCAATTAATAACAGGCGCGGCATTTCGCTTATACGAGAAAGCTTATACGAGAAACTAACGTTTGTGAGCCAAACGAGGGCAATGGAGAATTAATCAGCCGACTACACTACAGATTTCGCAGTGAAACCTTGCTTTAAAATCAATGGTATAAGACAATGCAATACAAGACAGTGCAGTGGGAGTATTTTCGCTGAGAATATTCACTGATCGGCGAGACAGTCCTTTTACCGATTCAATCAGAATGCTTGTACCGATTCACTTTAAGTGAGTGCGGAGGAGGGAGGTTGTCAACATCGACAAATCTCAAAGTACGTGTTACGTGTAATTATCATGACACGCGAATACGCAAACCCGACACGCTTTTCACGCGATAAAGGCCGAAGTGTGATCAATCTTGGCGCGGCCGTGACGACGACGAGAATAGTCGATGAACGATACGCGGTATCGTCGCGACAACTCTCGAGCTGGTGTCGTGATTTGCTCACAGGTGGTTCCGCGGTGAACGTCTCCAAGATGTACAGTGCCGTGTCAGACGGTGAACTGCTGGATCTGACGATCCTGCCGATCTTTCAGAAGCTTCTCACCGAGCGGCACAAGAGCACTGCCAGGCGGGGCTATCGCTCGAACATAGCCAGTTGCCCGAATATATCCATCAAATGCGACATCGTCGAGTACCTCTAACGGCCAGTACCGGTGACCCGGCACTGCTTCGCTTCGCCGGGTCCTCGCCGCGCCGGACGGCAGCACGCACGTAAAACTCACGTTTCTCTGCTCGTGAAAAAACACTCGTGGACTCACAGTCGGTAGGGTGTGTTAGAAATCGATCGTTTAAGTTAATTAATTAATCTGCGCTCTCACGCACACACACATACACACACACATACATACACACGCACATACATACAGTGACCACAGATACACCGGCACAGTCTCGAGCTGAACTCTTTCGGTCGGCGGCGACGACGACGACGACGACGATGTTTCTCATGACGGTTACGCAACGTTATCAGGCGACACGTCGCTTCTAAACCGGACGTATTTCAGGGGAATTCTCTCGTTCCGTTAATTTATTTATAAAGACGATTCATGGGCCGCGATAACCTACCTACCTATCTACCCACCTACCTATCTACCTACCTACCAACCTACTACTACCTACAAACCTTCCGCGCCACCGCCGCCGGGTTAATTATTCGTTCCGTCTCTCGCGTCCTCGCTCTTCAAGCACGGCACTTGACATCACGATAAACGAACGAATGAAAGGACGGGAGACTAGGAATTAATAATGCAAACGCTCTAGTAATAATAATAATAACGCTCGAATCGTATGGTATTCTCTCTCTCTCTCTCTCTCTCTCTCTCTCTCTCTTTCTCTCTTTCTGTCTTTCTCTCGAGAAAGACATCGGTGAGTAAACGTAAGAACGACGACTTTTTCTATGACACACACGGGATATTTTCTAGCGGCTACGCGACTCTGTAAGTAACGGCATACAATATAGAAGGCGACGCGTGAGAAAACGGATGAACCTGAAGTTAAAGTAAGTACTCCCGCAAACTCGCGGAGCTCGTCGAAATTTCTATTCCCGCGCGTGTTTCGCTCGTTCGGATCTTAGGCGTGAACGACGAGCAGTGGGTTGTACGGATTGCGCGCGATACTATCGAGCACACTTAGTTACTTGAACGTCAGTCAATAGATCTTGTATCTCGTTAGCGACGCGGCTGCAGCATGTTGTGCGATATATGTAGCGAACGTCGCGTGAAAGCAAAGCGAGAAGGAACTCCCGCGAATATATCCGTGGCGCACGTTTTCGGGGATGAACTCCGGGCGGGAACGTGGAGTGGGGGTCACAGGGAAAGGGAATGAAGGTCGTCGATGTAATCAATATAGCTCTCTCGGAGGAGAGGAGGTCGGGGGTGTACGAGCCCTATAGCAGCGAACAAATATTGTTTAAATATTTCTTAGTACGACCGAAGAATATTTTTGTGACACGACTTTAAACATTAAACTATAGTTCTAGTTGAATGCGGTATTAATTATATATATATATATATATAACGAATATACCTTCGAGATATTTATAAGACGAGTTAGAGAAAAAAATAAATAAAAGATATGATGTTTATTAGCCGCGGCAGATCCGGTGATAGATTTAAACGTTGACTGTTATAGCGATTTTCATCGTGTAAGGGATTTTTCATTCATGGGAATGAGAGACAGAAGCGCTGCCGAGGAACGAGGGTGGGATAGGGGGTTGGGGCGTCGCGTTTAAAGCGTCGCTATCGGCTAACAAGTGTGTTTTTTCATAGAGAGTATATACATACACACGTACGCGTACATACATACATTTATACGTTTGTGTATATACATATATAAATATATAAATATATATACACACAGTGTCCCAGCTCGACTTCATCTCTCGTGAGAACATTGAGTGGATTGAGATAAACATAAATATAAACAAATAGTCCAATATCATTTTGCGATATTCGCAATAACTATCGAGATATTAATTAAAAAAGATTTGTGTAAAAGATGACGCTTAATATGGTAGATGAGCTGTAGTGGCGATGTCTGCCGTCGTGTGTTTGTACATTAAATCAAACTGAGAGAAAGTCCATCATTTTGCAAATAAACACGTAGATTTTTAGTTATTAGTTATTAATTAATTCATTTATTAATTAAGAAGATTAGTGCATCATCGCGCAAAATCGTGCAACAATTTTCTTCAATTAATAACTAAAAATCTAATTGCTTATTTGCAAAATGGTAGAGGACTTTTTTGCTCAGTTTGACTAATACAATACAAGCACACGACGGCAGACGTCGCCACTACAGTTTATTTACCATATCATGCATGATCATTCACAAATCCTCTACAATTAATATCTCGATCATTTTTGCGATTTTCGCAAGACAGTATTAGATTTTTTTGTTTATCTTAATCCACCGTACGCCCTCATGACAGATTATGAAATTGAACTGGGACACTCTATATATATATATATATATATATATATATATATATATGTGTGTGTGTGTGTGTGTGTGTGTGTGTGTGTGTGTGTGTGTGTGTGTACACACATATATGTGCGTGTGTATGTACGTGCGCGCGTTTAAATATACATATATATATATATATACATATAAGGACTGTTAAAGGAAAGGTATCAAGAGTATGTTAATTAGGAACGTGTCCGTTCTCTCTTTTGAGGCGCACATTTTCACAAGGATCGCCAAATCTCAGGCCGGGAAAAGCAGTAGAACGGTACTTTAAAGTTACAAATACTATAAAGTAAGTTTCCCCTCGCGTACATTTCTAAAATGAATAACTATGTGTTTGTAAATATATGTTATACGAAGTAATATTCATTAAATATTTCCTACACACATACACACACACACGACACGTACAGACGACACAACCGTCAGGCATACAGGCATACACCTAAACTCGAAGCGTCTAGCCGACACTAGGAAGTAATTACGTGAACGTTTACCAGGATACATTTCGTTCTCCGCTAGGGTGCTGTGTTCAAAATACTACGAGGAGCGTGGCGGAGCATGTTATTAAATGCCTTCGGAATATATCCCTAGAACTGATAATTATCGAATCGAATCAATGCATGCATTGTCAATTGCCCCATATCCTTTCGTTTTGTACGAGGAATAATAAAAAGAAAAAGAAAAAACGACAAGTACGAGATCGCTCTCCGAGCGGATGTCGCGACGACGAGATCATCGCGATGGAAGCTGAATCGTCCCTGCCCTAAAACGAGGTCAGATCGCATCGCAGCGGGAATAAATGCGCGGTTGAGAGATCGCTCCCACGTACACGGCTGAAATCCAATTTTCTTTCGCCTCCCCCAACCCCTCCCCGACTCATGAGTGAACTCGTTAGAGGTGAAGATTTGAGTATTTATGTAAGGGATTCTCTCTCCTAAGTTTTCTCTGCCGAGTCGCGGCGTTTTCAGAGGTAAAAATCGTGCGACACGCCCGACGTAGCGTGTGTTCGCGCGAGAGCAGAGTTAAGAGGAGCTCAAGCAGACGGCGATGAAAATGAAATCGCGCTAATCGCGTGACTCCTTTCCTTCTTCATGTTCTCTCCTCCCTTTCCTTCCCCTTGTTCATTTTGTCCCTGTGGCGCGCACAGTCGCTCGTCCTCGTGTAATAGGACTTCGTTTTATGGTACGAAGGCGGAGGGAGGGGGAGGGAATTAGTCGTGGACTCGCGATGAAATTTAGAGATACAACGATTCCGGAGGTTCGCCAAGAGCCCGACAACGCGACGACGCCACCCACCCTTCGTCGGAGTAAGAGTTTCGCGTTTGTCGTGTTCGAGCGTCTTTCGGCAGCCGCCGCAGAAAGGAGAGCGACGCGTCACAAATGAAATATAATAATAAATCCGCTCGGCGGTGCTCTTGGTGCAATATACTCAGATCTTAAGGACAAATCATTTCCGGCGGCGCCCGGG